CTTTTTAATTTCCAAATTTGCTCCATTAAATTTTGCAAACAGTGTTTTCACTGTCCTTATGCAGAAACATTTACTTGGTGTTGAGTAGAAAGAAGACAGGAAAATGGAACTGCAAAGCTACAAAACTTAACAGGATATTAACTAAATGTTGAGTTTTTTTTTCAGTTGATGTATTTAAGTAGATTATTCTGCTTTAGCTTTCTTACTTCCACCTTTTAACTTACCCATCCAGGAGAGATGTTAGCAAAGGGGCCACATCTGCAAATACTGCATCTTGTGACTCCGAAGCACTGTAAACTCTGAGGAGCAAAGTGCAATGATTAGCTGAAGAAAAAAAAATAACTATGTTGTCACAATACAAGAACATAAACTAGGGGAAATGTAGGCAAGTGACATAAAACTTGTGACCTGCTGACATTTTAACACTTGCACTGGTTGCCCGGAGAAGCTGTGGCTGCCCCATCCCTGGCAGTGTTCAAGGCCAGGTTGGACAGGGCTTTGAGCAACCTGGTGGAAGGTGTCCCTGTCTGTTGCAGGGGTTTGGAACAAGATCTTTAAGGTCCTTTCCAACCCAAACCAGTCTGGGATTCTATGATTCTGTGTCAGAGAAATAAAAATTAGAACTCCAAGGTTCTCGCCCATTTTTGGGGAGCGGCTGTTGTGTGTGCTGGAGGGAACAACCCACAGGTGTACACTTGTGACTCTCTGAGCTTATCCTAATCCTTCTGCCTGCCTCTCTGACAGACAGACTCTACTTTTTCAGGCTGTACTGGATCCCTGTTACTTTCTCCCACCTACCAAACTGAAATATCCCTGCCTCCCGTGTCTCCTTTGCGTCCCTAAGAAAGGGAGTGGTCACATTGTGCTTCCCTTTAGATGCAGGTAAGGCTTTGGGGTACAGAGGCTGCAGACTTGCCACGTGGCTTGTCTAACAAGAGTCAGTGGCACAGCGGAAATAAGAAGGCCCTGAGGGTCTTGCTTAAGAATGCACTGTCTTTGTGGACAGCATCAGTCTAAGGTACATCCATCCCCATCCCAACTGAACTATCTGCTCTGAAATAAACCCTTCTCACTGGAGAGAAGACTGTCTTTTACATTGTGATGTGGATTCAAACTAATTTTTAAACCGAAGGAAAGACAATGAAATTGAATGCTCTTCTACCTTTCAGAAAACAATGACAGTACAATCCTTGGGCCAGAACAACATCTAAAGCAACTGTGTATGTTTTTCAAATCCAAGGAAAAAACCCAAACTAACACAGGACCCTTCAAAGAAATATTTCCTCTGATCCTTTCAAGTTTGTACAACATAAAATCAAGACCTGAAAATAGGAAATCATCAAAGGGAGGATAATTTTGATCATAAAACATGGACTTCTAACTCCCTCATTTCTTCTGTAGCACACCAAAAATATATCCTCCCCAAGATTACAGCCTGCAGCAAGCACTGTTTATACAAGATGAACAGAATATAAAACACGAATGTCATTAGCCACATTTAAGTATTTGAGGTATGGATGTTTACCTTCTTTGGAAAAAGCTTCCTTTTCTGATATCTTTCTGTTGTGATTTTTGTTTTGTTTAGCTCTGTTTAACAATGAGTGATATGTGTTCTTTATGGCTTATAGCAAAATGACTAACTAGAAACAGGAATTTTGGGTAGCAACAAACATTACAAAGCATAGTCACTTCCCTGGGTATATAGTATACTAGTACACTTCACTTAGCAGTGTATCCCACAGCTTGTGAATTATACTACAAGTGTAACTGAATGAAGACATATTGTGCACTTTAGCATTTGCTCAAGCTCTATATTTGACCACGGTTTGGCCACTACAGTCTATAGCTTGCACAAATGCAGATTTTGCATTCATGTTCTCCATAAAAAAAGACTTTACAGATGGATCACTGATAAACAGATATAGTATTGCAGCCAACCCACTTAATTCAGCATTTTGTTCCTGACAATAGCCAGAGGAAGGAGCAAGAAACACTGGTGGCTGGAAACACAGTAACTCTGTGCCTCATCCTAATCCTTAAAATACGTAAACTGGCCTCAAAACTGTAATATGAGTTGAATCTCTGTTTCAAAGAAAATATTATTAGAATTAGCATTCAATTTCTTTTTACATCTTGCTGAATTCTTGGCCTAGAGTAACATCCTGTGGCAATGTGTTCCACAGACTAATTATAAGTTGCATGAAAACGTACTCTCTTTAATCAGGAAAGAAGCACTTGTCTGGCTTGATGGACAAATACTGCTTGTCTTGCCATTCCACTGATGTGCTGTCACACTACACTGAGAAACCAACAAATATGCAGAGATGTGGCACAGTCTGTACTAGGAGGACATAGACACTGAATAGCAATCCCCTATCCTTGTTTTGCATGCATAGACGCATATGCTTCAGTAAACTTTGCACATCAAATCTGCAAGGTCCATATAAGAGAGCAAAAAGCACTTCTAAACACTTTTCTCTGCTTAATTTATCATCTACAATTCATAAAATACTTATTAGCACTGAGCCCTCCATTTTAACCAACTAGGTCTCTAACTCGGTACGTGTTGAAATGATGTTATTTTTCGTGACATATCAAAACATCTCAGAGCTACTACATTAAAAAACCCCTACAACTTAGTTATTTTAGGAATGAGAACATTCATACTGTCCTCCTACCAACCGTTACCAGGTAGAATAAACCAGTCTTAGTAGTCTGTTTGCACTGTGAAGAACTACAGCAGCAGCTAACTATGTCAGGTTCAGTTTCTAGTAGCTCTATAGAGGAAAGACACAGGGCTCCATGTTACAGTAACTACTCCAAATGTTTACTCAACTTCCTAAAGAGGTTTTATTGCCACTGGTTAGGTGCTGTGATTCATATGCTACTGGTACCCAAATGAAGTAGCTTAAAATTGTCTTCAACTAGTTTATGCTATGCTGTAATCACATCACTAGCTGAGGCATGGACACCCACTTAATTAATCTGAGACCATGGAAGATGCAGCAAATCCAGGGAATCTCTTTCTATAAGCCCATGTATTTTTACCAGAACGATGATAGATTTGTGCCTCTGCAGTGATAAATGTTAATTTTGCCTTGAAATTTTGATCATCTTTTTTATTTTGCTAACTGATTTGCCAATAAAACTATAAAAGCATAACATGCTGAAAGCTGGAATTTTCTTCGTGAGCTGAAATCAAATATTTTGACATTTATTAGTTCCATAAACGTTGCTAAAAAAATAAACATTTTTGAGTTCATAAGAACCATATGCTCTTCTGTTTATAGAAAAGAGCTGTGCTGGGACACTAGAAAAACATTCCCCAAGAACTGCATTCTTTGGGGGATTTACATTTTTTTAACCCTTTTCCTGATTATCAGGATCTCCACCACATGTCCAGAGTCACAGCATCTCTGGAGTTCTGTGTCAATACTATTAGTGGTGTTGCTCTACGGAGTTGAATTCTGCATTTACTTCAACTGGCATGGCTGTATTAGGTATAGCTGGAGAGTGAAAGAAATTACTTTGAGTAGCTTAGCATACATGCGATGAGGCCATGTACCTTGACAAATCTCTTATGCCTGGTATCAAAGGAGTCCTATAACCTATGGGGTCAGTAAAGCTTCCCCAAGATTTGCATTATCTTGGGAATTTTCAGGTTTTGGTGGCCTATAAAACAGCAGTCCCCAGTCTTCATAAGCAGAAAAAGGCAGCATCTTAGAAGGATTCTACAAGGAAAGGGTGAATGACTGGCAACATTTAACAAACCTACAGCAGTTCAGGCTGAGCAGGCTCAGAACTTAAGTTTAAACCAGGACAGATAATTCATGCTGGATAAATCTGACTTTAAATCAAGCTTTGTCTCCGAGCAAGGAAGCATGAAATTGTCCTTATGTGTTATGTTTCCAGAGGGTTCTGAGGCATGGTTCAGGGTAGAGAGCCTACTGTATGAGGCATTGTGAGGTACAGACACAAAGTTTGCACTAGAAAAAGGCATAGGGCAAATTTCGCTATTTCTTCATTGACAGAAATCTCATTTGTATTAATTTAATCCTTCATTCCTATTTTCAGAAGTTCAGATCAGCTCCATTCTGAAGGTACATAAGGCATTTTTCAGCCTGATTCCCTGCAGTTTTCTGTCTTGTGGACTGACTCTCTGGTGTCCCATAAGGCACAAACACCAACTAAAACCCTTACCACAGCCAGGGCATTCAAAATCTCTCGTTTATTTGGATTATTGAGCATCTAATAAGGTAAGTGGTCACACCACAGCCTTTCCCTTGGAGAGCACTGATTTACATGCCACTACTCTACCCTGCTGTCCACGTTCAGGCTATTTTAACTCTAACTTAAAAGGAACACGACTCATCTTCAAGTCTGTCCTGGGTTCAGCAGTAGCAGTCATTTTTCTCCTTCTTGGTAGCTGGTGCAGTGCTGTGTTTTGACTTTTGGCCTGGGAACAGAGCTGATAACAATGATGTTTTGGTTTGGCCAAGGACTTTGTGAGCCTCATGCTCTGCCAGGGAGGAGGGGAAGCCGGGAGGAAGCAGGGACAGGACACCTGACCCAAACTGACCAAAGAGGTATTCCATACCACAGCACGTCATGCCCAGGAGGTAACGGAGAGTTACCAGGAAGGGCTGGGAGACTGCAGGGTTGGAGGATGTATGGGTTGGTGCTTGGTCGGGCTGGGGGGGGCGAGTTATCGGTCGGCTGGTGGTGAGGTGTTGTAGTCTCTTCCCTTGTTATTTCCTTTATCATTGTTATTATTGGTGGTAGCAGTAGTGATTTGTGTTATACCTTAGTTACTAAACTGTTCTTATCTCAACCCGTGGGAGTTGCATTCTTTTTGACTCTCCTTTCCGTCCCTCCGGGAGCAGGGGGAGGGCAAGAAGGCAGGGGGAGTGAACTAATTGCCTGACTGGGTTTAAACCACGACAGTTCTTTTGGCACCCAACGTGGGGCACGAGGGGTTGAGATAACGACAGATCTGACCAGATTAATAGTCACTCGTCACAATGCTGATTTATTGGCTCTCAGAGTTGTTCCTCTTGATCTCACAGTTTCAGAATGCAGTACATTACTTAGAGCCGGTATTCGCTGTGTTAGTGTTTATCAGGTGTGGGGCTTGGGCTAAGGTTCTTGTCTCACTGTGCTTTATGGCAATGGCTTGTAATACGGGCGGGCTCCAGCAGCAGGGCGGGACGGACGTGGCCGTGGACTTGTACTTGGCCGTCCGACTGCTCTTCGCTGCCCTGGCCCTCGTCCTCGCCTCCGTCTTTGTGAGGCCGCGGGGAGCCGAGGGGGAGCGGCCCCGGGAGCCGGCGGCTGCTGAAGCGGCCCGGGAGAGCGGCCCCGGGGACCAAGCGGCGGCGGGAGCGGGGCCGGAGGCCGCGAGGGGACGGCTGCCGGTGGAGGAGGTCGGGGCGGTCGAGGAGCAGAAGGAAGCGGCTGCAGAGCAGCGGGAGAACGTGGCGGAGGAGCCGAGCCCCGCGGCCGAGCCGAGCCCCGCGGCCGAGCGCATTCCCCGGCAGCCGCCCGCCGAGCCCCAGGAGGATGCAGGAGACCACGCAGCATTTCCCAGCAGGGCAGAGGAGGAAGAGCTGGACTCGGGAAAAGAGGAGCTGGCGGTGGGAGAGCCGGCAAGCACAGCAGCTACACCAGCCCCAGTGACAAGTACAGCAGCATCGTGTGAGAGTTCTGAAGGTTTTGAATGGCCTTTGGGTGTCCTTGGGACCTGCCTGCTGATTGTGATGGGGATCAGCATGTTGGCACACACACAGACTGTGTTCTACCCACAACCATTTTGTCTGATCTCAAAAGTGAAGCAGAGTCGGGTTTGGGTCTTGTCTGGTGTTAGACGATGATATAGGAGGACCAGGAGACTTTCCCCAAAGCTGGACAGTGATGAGTGGCAGGGTGTGTGGGACAGTATGGGCAAGTATCTAGTCCACTGGGCCCCTCCAGTGCTTTGGAAGAGTCGGAGATGGAAGGCAGCTGTATGGAGTCCCCAGCAACAAGCTGCAGAGTAGGGGGAGGGCAAGAAGGGGGGGAAGTGAGTGAACAAGTTGTCTGGGTTTAAACCTCGACAAAGTCTTACAAGTCCTTAGTCCAGTTTTTTGCTCAGTCATGCTGTATGTCTAATGCTGAAGTCATGCAATCCACCTCAGTTCATAGAATCAGAATAGTCTGAGTTGAAAGGGACCTTTAAAGTTCATCTAGTCCACAACCCCTGCAATGAGCAGGAACATCTTCAACTAGATCAGGTTGCTCAGAGCCCCATCCAGCCAGACCCCCACCCATGTTTCCAGGGATTACCTATTAACCTGTTCCAGTGCTTCACCACCCTCATTGTAAAAACTGTCTTACTTATATCTAGTCCTAATCTACACTATTTTAGTTTAAACCCATTACCCCTTGTCCTGTTTCAACAGGCCCTGCTAAAAAGTTTGTCCCCATTTTTCTTACAAGCACCCTTTAAGTACTGAAAAGCAAACATCACTTCCTTACCTTTAAAATGGGGATAACATTTTACTATCTCACAACATGTAGCTAGAATCATAACAGCTATCAGACAGAGAAGAGGGTCAAATAAGTCTACACAGGTTTCAGACTTAGACGTATCAGTAGTCTTCACTGAGAGGGAAGACTAAGTGTGTCATATATATCTTGAAGTGCGTTTTCTCGACTGAGGTGTGTTGCCTACCAAGGGCTCAGATCAGGTATGTTGCCGAGAGGCTGCCTGGTCTAGTAAGTCCTGCAGACTTACTTCTTGTGGTCCATGTGGGTGCTAGTGATACTGACAGCAGTATCCTGGGAATCATTAAGAAGGACTACAGAGCCCTGGGAGAGGTGGTTAGGGGCTCTCGGGCTCAGACAGTTTTTTCATCAATCTTCCAGGTCAAAGGGGAGGACCCTGAAAAGGCCAGGTGGATTTGGCAGGTTAATAAACGGTTAGAACAGTGGTGCCATAGCCAGGGGTTTGGTTATTTAGGACATGGGACTCAATTTGGGAGGCCAGGTCTACTGGAGGCTGGTAGAGCTGGTTTTGGTAAGAGACGTGCCAGGCTGGTCAAGGCAGCTTTAAAATAGATGTGTTGGGGGAGGGGAGCATCATTCCATCCCAACACTCCCAGTCAGCTGCAAGCACCTATAATAAATGCTTGGAGCCTTGGAGAGCTGTTTCAGCCACCCCAGCCAATAAGTCAGCTTCGTTTGGAGCTCAGCTTAGGTGCCTTTATACAAATGCCCATGGTATGGGGAATAGACAAGAGGAATTAGAGATGTGTGCATGTCTACGGGGGTATGATACAATAGGCATCACAGAAACATGGTGGGATGGCTCCTATGACTGGAGTGTTGGAATGGAAGGTTACAGGCTCTTTAGGAAAGACAGGCCTGGCAGGCAGGGAGGGGGAGTTGCTATTTATGTCAGTGATTGGCTGGAGAGTATGGAACTCTGTCTAGGGAGAGGTGGTCAGTCAACAGAGAGCTTGTGGGTCAGGGTCAAAGGAAGAACAGCAATGGGGGACATTACTGTGGGGGTCTACTACAGATCACCCAATCAGGAGGACTCTGTGGATGAAGCACTCTACAGAAAGATAGGAGCAGCCTCACGCTCGCAGGCCCTTGTCCTCATGAGGGACTTCAACCATCATAATATCTTTTGGAGGGTCAGACAGGTGATCTTAAGGTCCTTTCCAACCCTAACTATTCTGTGATTCTCTGATTATATAGAACTTCCAGCAGTCCAGATTGCTGCATACGACTACCTACCTTTCAAACTGAAAAGTCTTGTTTATTGATGCATGACCAGGACGGCTACACTTTACAAGGACAGTTTCCTAAGACAAAACCAAAATAGTCATAGTTAATATCTTAGGCTCACACAGAAACATAAAGAAATATTTATCATTTCTAACATTTGAGCTGACAGCAGTAATAAAGGATCATGAAGTCCAAGGTCCTTCTCCAGCAGTCACCAACATGTGAGTCTGTACAGTCTGTACACTGCAGTGAAACCAGCAAGACTACAAGACATGATCTCAAAACATGGATTATTAAAGACCAACCAACACAAAATATGCACACTTAAGTTCATGAGGATGATTCAAACCCTTACCTGAACTTATCTGCGTAGAAAGCCACAGGCAAGTAAATCCAACCTCCCTAACTGCCACCACAGGTAGAGAAAAAAGGCAAAAAAGAACTCTTTTTTGTTATAGAGCCAGTTTTCACAGTATCTTTTCAGACTGATTTTATGTACATTTGTGCCTAGAACTGAGCAGAAGATGCACACTTTATAGAGTAACACGCTAGACCACCACTGTGAGAAAGATCTGCACTAGCACAATAGCTGGAATTACATGAGTTTATAGTGAAATCCACTTTCCGGATGGATTACATAGTAGTTTTCTAAGTCTGACAGTAAGTAAGTAACTCTTTTAAACTATTACCAGAGTACAGTCACAGCAGTCTGACATGCCTTACATAGCAACTTCTGTGCCCGTCTGTTCCTTCTGACAAATGTTGCTTAAGTGCAGAGAAAAGCACAGAAAATACTTCATCTAATCCAAGGAGGTTTCCTAGTTTACTAACCTGGGGTAACATTACTGCATTTGATGGGAGTGCTGAAATTCCTACTGTGCTTCAGACAAGTAGATTGGAGTACTAAACTAATGGCCTTCAAATTAGTATTGCTACAGACTGAAGTTGTAAACAACTGAGCAAATAACAATTGCATAACACTATGTCCAGCATGCAAATGGCTAATAAAAACCAAATTTCTTGGTTTGAGTTTACAAGTATTTCTCTCCTTTGGAGAAGGCCAATCATTATCAAACTAATGATGACTACACTCACTCTACAGAATGAGCTGTTACCCATCCCAATACTGGCAAATTTAGCCGCAGTGCAGATGTAAGTACAACACTTTGCTACAGAATGGCCTGACACCAAAGTTCTAATAGGATCAGTAACCAACAGGCACTGGGGGAAGGAGAAAAAAAGAAAATTAAAAAAAAGGGAAAGAATTATATTGTTATGGAACACATTTCTGATTCAGAGATCGATGTACTTGCAGACCAGCTTTCCATAAGGTGAGAAATGGAACATAAAAAGCTATCTGGATGACACAGTAACAGAAGAATTGTTAATAGGCTGAAGCTCCATATGAGCATTTGTAATGACCTTCCTTTCTCGGGAGATCAGTACAGGCTAAAATATATCCACTACTGCTACTGGCCTACAAAATCTCATCAAGTTTCCCTGTCAATAGTGCTTATGACAGGTGTCTCACAAGAACACTGAAAAATCTCTTTTTCACCCCAGAGTCACGGAATACTCCTAGTCTGAGTTCTTTCAGGGCAATATGAATCCTTGAAATGACAAAAGTATACTTCATAAATATCCACAATCTGTCCTGACATCCAAGCTTGCTCCCTAATCCATGTGGAGCAGTTCAACCTGATGTGCACTATGTACTTACTTTCCACCATTATAGTACAATAAACTATAGGAGAAAGGCTCAGACAGTTGTAACTGTTGAGTTGGGCATACATGGGAAAGTAAAAAGAAAACTTCACAAATCTTAAAGTAGCTCAAAGCCTGAAATGAAATACTTTTCTCTTTTTAGACTTAGAATGAGAATAATGATTCTCTAGACAAGATAAGCAAGATTATAGTAAAGATCACATATGTGTTTTGAAGAATGATATGAATCTCTAAACAAAAGAAAAAACACTCAAAGACTAAATGGAATTCAAGTAGTCTCAGTCTCACAAATAGATACTCAACTATTCTGTCCAAGTATCAGTTCTGCCCATCTATAGTCAATTTGAAGACATAACACAGCTCATGGCAGAAGAGAAGCAAAGCTGCTTTATACTGCCATTTCTGTTGTGGTCTTTCAATTCTAGTTATAACATGACAAAGTTGTAGCACAGATGAAACAGATCAGCAGATTACTAGAGCTACCATCCAGTTCAGGAGTAATGTCAAGCTGAAGCTTGTCCAGAAGATCCAACCAGTTTCCTGTATGTATGCTGGACTGCATTGTGACTGGTTCTCAAATACCACTCTGCTTTCTAACACACATTAGTTCTAAAGTGATCATGGCATATAACTGCCTGGTTATATTACATGTATACAGTATTTTCAGGGAAAAATCTGGAAAGACAGCCATGATCTAAAAAGCAAAACTAATAAACTCAGCACCTCCAACACAGCTTTCCTTCACCTTGATCTAAAGTTTTCTTTAAATCATAAATAATTGTCTGAGAAATGGTTAATTTGTTTCCAGAAATATGAGCTTTGACTCCGTTGCAACTAAAATCTCAATAACAAGACAAGCCCCATAATTTTATCTAAAAATTGCATATTTATCCTAGCCAAAACGATAACACTGTGAGGTATTAAAAGCAAAATAAGCAGGCAATAAACACTGTTTACTTTTGTTAGATCGGTCTAAATTGACTTCTTTTTGTAAAGTCAGTGCACTTTTATCCTCCCTCATGAACTTGGGTGCTTCTAACAATTTTTTTCTTAAAAAATATCAAAAAAATTATATTAAGAAATTAACACAAAGACTTAAGGTGTTTGATCAAAACAAGAAAGCAATTTAGCCACATGCCAATGCAAACCAACAAAATATTTTAAGTCATTGTGGTGTTTTTCAAATACAGGAAGTTTGTACCTTGCAGATTTTGTTTTACAGACAAGTCCATGCATACATGTATTTTCCTCCAATATTCCATAAGGATTTTTAAACATGAGAACAGGTTAGCATATTGAAGGTTACCAGATCACTATTTCATACAAACTGGAATTCATGCACTGGCATAAGCAAGCATATACTGCTTTGCCTGTAAGTATACAGGTACTGTAATATATCAGTTATCTATATTAAAGAATCCAAAACCTAAATACTATCTAATTTAATCTTTATGAATAAAATTTAACAGGTCAGAAATGGTCATGGCATTTTATAGTACAATAAATGGGTCATGACATCCAGAATACATCTATCATTACAGATCCCTGATTTTAAATCTCCTGGCATATCTACTGTTTCTTAGCTGAGACTTCATGTGCTCCATTAGTTTCCTAATTGCATATATATATATATATATATATACATATAAGTATCTGCTTTATGCAAGAGTGATCTGCCTAATGAAGCTGCAATTTGGAAGATTTAAATGCATAGAGCATTGTAGGTCACTTTAGCAATATTTTAATCATGATACTATTGAGGAGAATTTAGCTAATCACCATGTAAGTAACAGTGAGCAGTAACTAAGAACACTGGCAGCAAAGAAAATTAAATCCTAAATTAATATTTTGACCTTAGCTCACGCTACTGTGCCTGTTTAAGTTTTATATCTTGGTAATGGCCTCCGTTAATGCTGGAATGTCATCTGGATTTGCAACCTCAATGTTCATTCTCCTTCCTTTGATAGATCTAAGCCAGAACACTTTAAT